GAGATGTACATACTCTAGAAAATAATGTAGTATTTCTCTCAGAGAGTGAGATTGAATCAGTTTCAGCACAGATGCATGAGATCATATCAGTCTGTTAGAGCTTAACTGATTCAAACATGTAATCAGATTGAGTGATTTAAATTATAATATAATAGAACTGAAGCAGTGACTAGTCAGCAGTATTATATAGAAATAGTTATTTTAAGAAGCTGTATAAGTGAGCTTGACTATCTTACTTAAATAGCAAGCTTATAGACTACAGAGTTATTGTGAGAATATCACAGATATAATACTTAGTATACTAAGAAGATTGTATAAGATACATAGTAACTCTTGTATATATTTCAGTAGAAGTAAAACAAATCACTGACTTCTTTAATAAGAAGCCAGCATCTAGCTATTCTATATAGACAATGAGTGAATACTCTTCTCTTATTTCATAAGTAAGAATAGTCAGAGTGATATCTTAACAGCATCTCATTATCAAGAAAGAGTAATCTGCTGATCTTGTATAAAAGCAGAGTTCTTATATTCATCAATCGGATCTTTCTATGATACATCTGAATGATGTCATAGAGTGGTTGAAAACCGGTTCAGATGAGATGAAATCATCCGCATGGAAGTGATGAGCCGTGTGAAACCGCAACAGAGCCTTGGCGCGGCCGGGAGCGTGACAACAGTGATGATATTAAACATGATTAAGAACTGTAGATAAATATTCAATGATATTTATCTAATTAAAATGACTGAGAAAAAGAAGTAACTGTACATCTTCAGACTGAGTGTGATTAGACTCAGAATTCTCAGTCATAATAATGAGATCTCAGTAGTCAGCAAAGACTTGATAAAAGTCTTTATTTATATCAAGTTTGAGATTCAGTGCATTCTTATATTAAAATATACTATATGAGTGCACTAATCTGCAGTCTTATCACTTGTAATAAGTTCAGTAATCTAGAATTTTGAATTTCAGATCTATAATCTTTTTCTTAAAGATTGTAAGTTATAGATGAAAGTAATATATAACTATAGTAGAATAGTTATGAATACTATCTCTTACAAACTTCAATCTCTCAAGATTAGTATCATACTTTTAAATAATATAGTCAGAAAAGTAATGTATCAGATCATCTCAGTAATAATCTATAACTGAGAGAGTAAGAAATAGATGCAGAGATCTGATATTTCAAACATAGACTTATAACTGACAATATTTTATATCTTAAAAAGAATGAGTTTTATAAAGACTCTCTGTAAACTGTGTAAGTGAATTCAAAATCACAGTAGATTGTAAAGTATCAGTAATAAAAGCAGTTTACAGCTTCTCTAGAATGAGATTTTTAATAAGAGAATTAGTTTAATTATAGAAAAAGCAGCTCTGATTATTAATCTATCTATAAAATAGAGAATTGAAAAGAATATATTAAAAACAGCTATAACAGATAAAGTAGCTATTATAATATTTAAGAAGAAACTGTGTATAATCTGTAAGACTAATTATTCTTTATCTAGAAAGAATAAATTCAGCTTCATCTTATAAGAACAGTGTTGAAAAGACTTAAGAAAAGAGTGAATAAGTATTATTAAACTCACTAAGTAATATATTATAGACTGAAGACAGAGTGAGATGATTAATCTGTTCTTACTATGATATTTCAAGTTCATAGCAGAGTTACTTAACTTTAGACTGTAAGATTAAAAGATCTGAAATATTAGAGTATTCAGATAAGATATTTAAGTTATTAAGATTTAAATAATTCTCATTCTTAATAACTATTAATTCTTATTTATTAAGCTTATAAAAAGAAATCTAATCAGAGATATCTTTATTTTCAGATAACTGATTTTAAGTCTCTTTATTAATCACAATATTCTGATAACTAAGATGATTTTTATAGAGATAAATTAGTCATTGAGTAATAGCTTCTTTACAAACTATGAAATCTTGATAAAACTGATATTATAAGTGAGAATCTGTATTTGAATTTAAAGACTTTAATATAATAATATCAAGATTCTTAGAAAGAAGTGAGAGAGTGTTATAAACACAGTCAGTATCTCTAAGAAAGTTAATAATATAATCTTTATACTTATACTGATATTCTCTGACTTAACAGACTTTAATAAAGATATGTATATATGAAATTAATATCTCTTTAATCTGACTGAGAATAGAGAGATCTGAATCAAGATCACTGAGATTAAGATTATTCTCTTAAGAGAATAAAAATGACTTATCAGACAGCTGTCTTAAATTAACAGTATAATAATAAGTATAAATATTATCTTAAAGATTTATTTTAAATCAGTGAATTTAATAACAGCTACAGATCTTTATCTGTAAATCTTTAAGTATATAATAAAATTTCTATATATACTGTTAATCATCAGAATTAACAGCTGAATCTGTAAGATAAGTAGAACTCTGAGAATTTATTAAAGAGTCTGAGACAATTGCAGTCTATAACTGATTATATTTCTGAAGAATTATAAGAGCTTTTATATTTAATATATTAATTAAGCTTTCAGATCATATAGAGTGCTGAGATATTAAGAAACTACTAACTTTTTTATTAAGTTAATTAATGAACAGATCTGCAGAACTCTGAGAAACAGAGTTTTAAGAAATTAAAAGTAAGAAAAATAATATAAAAGATATCTGTAGTAAAAGTATATCTATAAAAGTGAAATAAGATTAACTTAAAAATGAGTTAAATAATAATATAAATAATTAATAAAAGATTGAAGAGAGATCTGTAGAACTAAGAGATGAATTAATTATTAAAGATAACAGTTACAGTTATTTTCTTAATTAAGTTAAGAATAAAGTTAGTAAGAAATATTCTCTATAATATTTAATAATACAGTGAGTTCTTTGAATAACAGTTTTCTTTTTACAGACTGCTATTAATGAAGATATATTAGAACTATGAATTTCATAGTAATAAAACTTAATCTCAGATAATATATCTATTTCAATAGATTATTCATAAGCTTAAGAGACTGCTGTTAATTATATAAAGTATTAACATGTCTGAGATAATGAGAGAAGTTCAGACTTATTTATTACAGAATCTATAACTGTAGAAGAATCTGATTTCACTGTATATATCTGTTTACAGTTTTACACAGTGTAAAGAGATAATCAGTGATAGAAAAGATATAATGAGAGAAGATTATAATATCTGAGTTCTCTGAGTGTAGTATTGAAGACAGACAGCTGTAAAAGTAGTAGAATACTGTAAAGAAATGAATTAATCAAGAGACTAGTTTTATAAGCAGTGAATGCAGGCTTTTAATGTGTTATTCATTCTTGAGAATCTATGAAAGATAATTGATCAGATGCATTATCTATTCAAGAATCTGTACAGAGTAGATAGTTAATAAGATATGTAATCTATTATTCAAGAATCTGTACAGAGTAGATGATATAATTGATGAGATGAAAGATAAATATGTTATGAGTGTGTAGAAGAAGTCATAGTGCAATGTCACAGAATTGCACTTCACTTAATTCTATATCAATCAGTGAGCTGTATTCACATCAAGAACCTCAAAAAGGAAATTCTCCACTTTTAATGACCAGGGTTTTCATCATATATTTGCTTCGCTTCGCTCCGCAAAAAAAGTAAGCAGAATTTGACCAAGTTAAACAGAAAACTTGAAAATGAAACAAACGAGTTGTTAAATTTCTTCAATATAGGATCTGAAATACAGCCATACGCAAGCTTTGAATAATTAAAAGAAAAGACAGTCTTTTTCAGAATGGGACTGAGAAGAAAACTGATGCATGAGAGAAGTACTGATTACTCTGTTAATCAATCAAGACCCGCGGGCTAGAAGTAATAAAACTAGTTGAATATCACTCAATTACTCATCTCTGGACCTGTTCTTCAGCCCGTCATCCTTGTCTATCACATAAGTCCATCACAAACATAAAATCAGAACCCAGGATTGAGCTTGAGAAGGATAAAATAGCGTTCAAAGCTAGGTCAGGGCAATGGTGGCGACACTTCAGGGCTCAGCCCTAGGTATTCATCTTCTAGCCGTTGGTTCGCCAGTCCGGTTCCCCTTTCATTATTTCATATCTAACTATTAAGCGTCGCCCTTAATACAAAGATATAGAGTCAAAACACCTCTACCTCCCAAATGTCGGATATCAAGAAATCACCGTTTTCGCGAGCATCAGCTTCGCCAATCGGTCGGTGTTGTCGGTGCACCCCCTACAGGCCTCAAACCATGCATAAATCAAACATAAGTTACTCAAGCTTTTTAGGCATTTCGTTTCTCAAACTTCAAGCGTCTGAGATCTGAAATCTGAAATTAAAAATTGAAATATCTTACAATTTGAAGAAGGGGGGAAAATATAAAAAGAAAAGAAAAGAAAAGAAAAGAAAAGAAAAGCAATGCAAAAGGAAAAAGCATGAATGATATCATATCCACATGAATACGCATGCGTGTATTATTCATATCTGGACCACTGGCCACGCCGCTAGAAAATACATTGCCATGCGTGGCTGTATTATTAGACTACTCCGTACGTTCGTATGCAATGCTACCGTCTCGTTTTACTGGCAGATGGAAGAGGTTTTGTGATCGCGGATTGAATATGAGAGGCTCATGCCAGTTGAATAACTACCTTCACGAACAGCACCAAATCCCCCCCAGCTTGCGTGATTTCAAGGGGAAGAATAACTAACTATACTTGCAGCAAATCTGGCTAGGGTTTTGAACTGGCCAGACCTTTAATCCCTGGCTCTTCCCCTCCTTTTACGGGATGCGCTGTTGGAGAAACCTGACTGGGGCTTATGTGGGAGCTAGAAGAGGGGCAAAAGGGGGCGTCCACTGAAATTGACGGCCTAGGAGGGGATTTGTGAATATGTTGGTTAACAGATTATGGATGCACAGTATCTGTTTCTCCGGATGGGATGATCCTTGGCTCTGGGGGAGAGGGGGGGGGGGGGGAAGTAGGAGAAAACGAGAAAACAAGTAAATAAACAGGGATGGCCGGAAATTTAACCGCTTTCATTTTTACTGGTAGATTTTGCGTTGAAACTACGCACCTCCTGCATAAACGACTCGCAGCTTTGATCATCAATCGATTTAGTCCTGAGACATAAATTTTAGGGAACAAAGAAGAGAATGGGAGAACTTATGTGCAACACATACATAGAGCACATACACAATCTGCCCAGAGTCAGCCAGATTCTACATTGCTGGACTTTGCATCTACCCCCAGGCGAAGAAAACCGAAAGATATCATCAATTGCCCGGTTATCAAGTCCAATAGACCTCTTTGTTGTGAAGTCAAAGCTGGGGTTAACACTCGCTCTTCTGGAAGACGAAAGCTCTCCCCACCCCGCCATATCCATCCATGAAATCCCTTCTCGGTACTTGTCTCTTGCGGGTGATCGTTTGGTTTGCTTGATACACATTGCTGAAACCCAGCCCTCGAGTTTTCTCCATGGCAAATACTTATTCTTGCGCATCACAGTGTCGTCGCGATGTGCCATGCCCTCTGTAATGTAATTAAGACCACTGTTAATGTATGTATGTACATGTACATGTACATGTATGTAGAAAGAGGTTGTTTCGGTCTCGAAGTAAGCCCTCTGAGGAGCTACCCCTTTTCCTGCGTTGGTTCTCGGTCCCGAGCAAAAGTATGGAACTGCGATTCCATTAGTGAACACTCGACAACCACTTCACAAGCAGCACTGGCGGGAGGGCGGGAGGCGGGGCAGTCAACAGGTATTGCAACAGCGTGCCATTCTTATTCGCTAGGATCCGGGTCCAGATCTTTTCGTTTTTGCGCAACCGCGCTTCCTTGAGTTGGCGTCCTTCGGCACATCTGGTCTGGTGCAAGACACGATAGCTGAGCCGAAAAAGCGGCTGGTGGTTGCAGAACGTAGTATTTTTCGTATTATCATATGACGTTCGTACCGTTCATAGTTCTTTGTCCATCTTCCCGATCATCTCGGGATGGGGAAGTAGCAAGTTAATTACTTCAAAACTCTATCATTGCGAAGGGGCGTTGATCGATCCCCTCCTCCACTCTCGCCGAACCGATGGCGTTCAATATCGTAGTTCCCAGTATTAGAGCCAATGACGGTCAACCATCGGTTCGGAAACTGGCATGAATCATGAATGGTAAGCGATTTACACATCCCAAAAGTTTGCATGGTTCAAGAATCACGAGGCCTACAGCCCAGACTCCCGAGCTCTTGAAGGGAAGCAAATCCCGTTTGTATTGTAGTGAGTGCTCTTTCGATGTTCCCCGTTCGATATTCAGACCTAGTCATCGTAATTGTATAGGATATCAATTCTGTCTCCCGGCTGTTATTGACCGACTCTGTCCCGTGTGACAGGCCTGCTTGCATCTATAGGATCTGGGATGAGAAGCCCCGCACCATTAACATTTTGACTTAAGTGCCAACCCAGCTAGCAGGCCAGCTTCCTGAATGCTTGTCAGATGGTAAGCTACTGTGGTGCCGTTCGATTTGATTCCCTTCCAAAAAGGGAATGAGAGATATCATGGGAGTGCAGCAGCTAGAATCGAAGAGTAAACAGACCGAGAAACTTTGGTCAACCTACAGAGGTAGTTAGCAACTTGATACATTTTTCTCATATATACGTCGTGGGAATTGTTTGAAGGTCAGGTCAGTTGGACATTCAGATATCAGATACTGAAGCCCTAAACCACACCACTGATGGCATACTATATAATTCAAAGCCCCTATTTGATTGCATTGCTGCTTTGGGATGGGAATCAATAATCTTGGGAAGACTTCATATGCTCACTTATTAAAATTTTTTACATTTCACTCACTAGTGGACACAATTGACATCTTTTTGTTTTATTACTATCTAATGTGTATATTCTATTTTTGAAAACCTGTTCTCCTTGTCCTCCTAGTAAGGGAGAAACGAACGGAAGAGAGAATTTTGGAAACCCCGAGATTGTAGTTTCCTCGCCTGCTTTTATCATGACCGGTAGAAATAAATGTAATGCTAGGTTCAAGTCGCCAATTTCATGCATCCCGTAAAGAAAAAGCCGAAAAAAAGTTTTTGAAAAGTTTTTTTTTTTTTTTTTTTTTTTTTTTTTTTTTTTTTTTTTTTTTTTTTTCTTTTTCTTTTTTCTTTCTTTTTCTTTTTTTTTTTAGAAAGAAAGAAAGAAATTAAATGCATCACTCCGTCCTGTGGTTGTGGCGCCAGATAGATATCAAACGGGGATAAAGTGCGGACGGGGAGCGAGTATTCGAGCACATTAGGCGATAGTTAATGTTTTAGAGAGCTATTCGTGTCGTTAATTGGTTAAAAATCGGGGATACTGGCCCTGCCTTGATGTGTCCATCCCTGATTACGCTTCCCATGACCGCTTACATTCCAGGATGGCCTATTTCACGGGTTAGAGGGTCATGAAGAGTGCGTGTGTTCTCCGGGCAAAATTCCTATCTCATGGTATAGGGGCAGCGATGGCCCGGGCTTTTTCAACATCTCTACCGACTCCAGTCCTATGATGCATCCTGTCCTCCTCCTGTTCGGCGATCCGCTCAGCTTCTTTCTGCTCATGCAGGTATTGACAGAATTTGCTATTCCGTCTGATGTGCTCACCATACCGGATGAATGCGAATGGAATAAACGACATCGCTAGGCTGAAGAATCCCAGCATGCTGCATGACCAACTTACGCCCAAGCGGTTGAACATTGGGGTTGTGGAAATGGGGAGGCAAACCGCAAAGATGCTGCGGCAGCAACTGGCTGCGGACTGAGCACTTGCTGAAAACGTCTCATACGCATCGGCTAGGTAGTTTAGCATTGCCATGAAAATTAGCAAGTAGCCTGCCCCAAATGGTATCCCGGATAACATGGGGACCGCCCAGTGGATGTTGGGTATGGCTGTCCAGCCCAGCCAGAATAAAGCAATGACATATAGCGGCCCACCAATACAGGCAAGCGGGAGACGTCTATACTCCTCAATATTTGCCCAACTTTTGCCCCTAAACTTGGCCTTGTAGAGATAGGAATCCCACCAGTTAAACACCGCACAAGATAGAACTGCACCAAGGGCGACTGAAGGAGCAATGTGTTAGTGAAGACTCGAATGGGCTTGGAAAATTAATGCAACTTACTAGGTAGATACATTAGTCCGCTAACACCAGTACTCATGCCATATATACCTATGATCCACGAGTTAGACAAAGAATTCGCGAAGTTTCGGAACGGAGGTGAGACTTTCCATACCTTGAAAGATAACTGGATATGCTTGAAAGTAGATGAAAAATATAGCATAGACTATTGCTAGATATAAGCAAGTAAAAAGTACGATTGACTCCTGAAACATCATACGAAGTGGACGGGTTAGCGTGACGGTGAGTATAACCTTTATCCCTTGCTTCTGGATATCAAGAGGGGCGACAATATGGGGGTTGCCTGTGCTCTTGCGTAAAGCTCGAGCTCTCCGCTTCAGGAGAATAGGGGCGTATGTTTCAGGCATAAAAAAGCACAGTGGAGCAGAAACACCTGCGATCATAAGTGCTATCCAAAACGGCCATCTCCAACTTATTGGAGCTGTAAAACCGGACAGCCAGGGGCCGACAAGCGGACCAACGGTAGTCACCTAGGAGAAAGGTTAGCAGGCACCACCACCACCTAAAAAAATAACATGCGCTACACAATACGTACAGCCATAAAGTACGCCATGACCTGACCCCGCTCTCTTGGATCGTTGTGGATATCGGCAAATAGGCCACCAACAATAGCAAGAGGGGCAGATGCCGCAGCACCCAAAATCAATCTGAACACCAACAGAGACGCCCAATTTTGACATAGCGCACAGCCCAATGTGAAAACCATAAAGAAGAAGAATGGGATTACCATCACAGTTTTCCTTCTGTAAGATTCTGACATGGGTCCACAAACGATTGGGCCAAAGACATAGCCAACAAGAAATAAGGATATGGGGAGAACGAGTTGCTCCTGGCTTGTTATGTTGAACTCCTTGGCAATATATGGCATCGCACCGCTGGGAAGAGAAGAACAGAGAGTACTATTCAGGACAGTAGCCATTCCCCCAGCAAAAACGAATCTCTTCTCGTTCTGAGTGATCTCGTTAACCGCTGTCCCACGTTGTATACCTCCTCCTAACCGACGTAACGCTGCCGAACACCAGTGTACAGTAACTTACTTTGCTCCAGTTGAATGGGTTTGCTGGATCCATAGAATGGAATGACATGATCGTTTTCGACGCAACTCGACGGAATCTGTAAGCAGAGAGTGCATAATCCATGGTGCCATCTATAGGGGAGCCACCCCCGCTCTGTGATAGGGAGTCATTCGATAGATTCGGCGGTACCATTTCCGTCTCTGCGCCGATGTCAGATTTTCTGAAGATATTTTAAAGGGATCTATATTTGAAAAGAAGACACATACCCATTGGCACATATATTTCCCCTGTTCCAACGGTCCTTTCCGCATCAGCCGTCATGATTGATAAGTACTATTGCTCCCAAAATCACAGCATAATTAATGCCGTAATTATGAACCACCACGTATCTTGGGGTCGCTACCATGATTTTATAGCAACCCTATCGCCGCAATCCCCCGCAACTTGATGGGCCTCCAGAGCATCCTGATCCCAAACTGGCAGCGGCAAACCGACAAGATTATCAGTGGAAACGCGCCGCTTCAGCTGTTAGCACCAAGCAAATGTTTCGGGTAACACGGGTTCGCTCCGGTATCATTTTTAAAGACCAACATGTCCCTAGGCCCGAGAACTTGTGATAAGAGGTTGATGCCCGTTCTAGTGCGCCCTTTGTGACAAATTCCAATTCACCACGCGGCTGCAGAATACGGGGAATGGGAGATAGGGTCGGCTTGCCATTGATATTCCTGGATGTCTTCGCAATGTGTAACTATCCAGCTTAGTGAGAGTGGCCATTATAGTTTCGGCAGTTTAGCCATGGCACTTGGGCAGAGGGGAACTCCAGTCCTAAACTGTATACTTTTTACGTACTGAAAATCAGTGAACTACACTATCAGCGGCCTTTGGGGCCTTGCTAAGTGGACCAGAAGAGATAAAATGTATGCTGATCTCGCATCTCTCTAGAATGAAGCGTTAAAGGGATGATGAATAATGACGGACAAATTCACCAATTATGTTTCTTCGGCGTTTAAGCGGGCATCCTAGAAAATGCACAAACCAGGGTCCCATGCATGGCAAGGTCCTGAAAGTTCGTTCGCCTTCATCTTGCCCAGTTTTGTGCACCAGCCCTACCGAGCCACGCGGAATGGATGCCTGCAAATGGACCCCGACGGGGTGATTGGGGCGTTATTAATCAATATCAACAAAGTGGAAACGAGCAGTTTCTGGGCAGCGAGACGAGAAACCGATCCTCATGATCCCTCCCATACGTTGGACGTTACCCACTCAACCTGCGGCCAGATCCATCAACATCGCGAGGTGACGGCCAGACATCTTCAGATCGCACCAAAACTGCATAGGTGGATGGACTCTTGGCTTCCGCTGCTCCTTTTGGGCCCAGACTGTGAGTTGTCGCAAAAAGAGATAAAGGCCTCCATCTTTTTTCCCTTTGGCGAACAATCTCACTTATTTAAAACTGGACCAGCCAGATTCTCAATATCATGCATTGCCTTTTACCCTTTGTTTTTATCCCTCCGTTTCTCGAGTCAAACTGCTCCGTAAGGAGCATGGGAACGAAATCCTATACGAAAAGAGGGGGTCGTATCCAAAGATGAACAAAATTCGATAGGCTAATTTCGCTACAATCACTGAATGAATAAGATATACAATTCCATCTAATTCAATATATTTGGCAACATGGGGAGGAGCAGATAATGCGAGGCCACTTTTGATGCCCATTGAGCTCGCGGGGGAGTTGTTCGGTATCGCTGGACTGTCTTGCATTGAGCGTGGGTGTGGATATTTCCCAGCGAGCCCGGGGCGAGGTAACAGGAAAGCGGTAAACCGTGCTCCAAGGAAGATTTTGAAGGCATTTGGGTCACTTCTAGATAATCCTAATAATACACGTGTTCCCGTCGCGCCTAGAGGTTCCGGCCTGCAATTGCGGACGAATCGAATTGTGGAGCGTACAGTGCTCATATCGCATCACTATTTCGAGAGCGGATGACGTTCATGCGCAGGGGATAGAACATGACTGGTAAGATTTTAGGCTCAAGCCATGATCGCTCTTACATCCCAAACACAGAGTCTTTCATCCCACCCACAACTTGCGCACCAGCCTTCACTTCCAAAGAGACACCAATCTACGCCAGTAGCAAACTCCGTATGGCGCCCCATGCGCCCCAGTTCTCTGCCCATTCCTGATCCAGCGCTCAGTCCACCGGGCATGAAGCCTGCTTCACCACCCGGCGTTCCGGTATCGGATCCGTCGCTCCAAACACGACAGGTCATGTCGTAACTAGCGCTTAAAAGAACGTGTGAAAGGTGCGGTGACCAGGTAATTTTTCGGACGGCATACTCATGTCCAATCATTGCGGATAGCGGGCCCTGTTGCGGAGCACGGATGTCAAATGTACGGATCGTTCGGTCGACACCAGCTGTGGCAAGGACTGAGGGTCGATATTTGTTCCAGTCATGCGTCAGGGCCTCTGATGGAGGACATGAGGCAGGTGCGGGTGGAAATCCCGGTTTCGTAGGTACCGAGGCTCCTCCATGAATCGGGATTTGTACTGTAAGATGGTTGTTTGCAGAGGAGGGTGTACGCAAATCGAAGACGCGAACATGGGAGTCTGAAGAGACGCAGGATAAGATATCTGGGGAGTGTGGGGAAAAGGCGACGGAATAGGTGCAGCTATGCGTCGGAAGAGTTAAGAGTGACTGAGGTCTAGAGGGTGACCAAATTTTAACGGTTCCGTCCCAACTGCTGGAGCAGAATCGGTCCTTTGCTACTAAATTCCAATGAACGGAGAAAACTTCGCGAGAATGTTCCTTCCATCCTTGGACAGGAAACTCATCCACCGTAGCATCGAAGAGCTTAATACTCCCATCCCCAGAGCCCACGAGGGCTTGGTTCTCATGGATTTCGGACCAGGCAATATCATAGAGAGAATCTTGCGTTGTGAAACTGGATTTAAATAGAGCTGTTAGAATTACGTAAATCGCGCCAGATAGTTTCAAAAAATATTGATAAAGTATATATATCCAGGGGTATTGACGCAAATGCATTTAAAGACCTCACTACATCTTTGGGGGCTTACTATTTCAGAGGGACGATGCCGTTGGGCGTTAGATCGAGAAAATAGAGCCTGCCATTTCCAACAAGGCCAAAATTCGCGGATGCAGCAACCGCAAGACGGGAGTCAAAGAAGGGGGAGTATTTCACTGCATATCCGTTGAATCCCTCTGTACGGAACTCAAGCATGTTGTCGAGCGGGGGAGGGGCAGGAGGATTGTTTCCAACTGGTTGATCCCAAACAAGTTGACGCGGGGTTATAGGTGGCCAGCTATACTCCAATGTGAGCGAGTACCTTCGGAGATATATAGGGGAATCCGCATCCTCAGATGTTGCTCTAGGATAGCTCGTTGTGTTGCAGGGAAGAAACCCCCCGGCGGCTTAAGTTGAACCACCGAGGTCTATCTCCTCGTCTGGGGGAAGGCACAAATTAGCGCGGTTATTTAGCGCATAACATAACCAACCACCCAATGTCTGCTTAGTCTCAATGCTCATTCAAACATCATAAAGCAAGCAGTAATTGATGTATTATTATTATTATTCTTCTTCTTCAATGATAGATGTATACCAGTCAGAGACTATAACATCTACCTGAGAACTAAAAGTTCTCAGAATTTCTCTTGTAACTTATCTAGCTAATATAGCCCCGGTGGAGGTTCCTAACCATACAGGAAGAACGTAGGGTTAATTTACGGTGATTACACCGTGGATCCACCATTCCACCCGTGTCACGTGTCGCCTATCGTAACACATGTATTAATAATAGAAGTAGAAATTCTTGATTAATATTGTATATCTGAAAGAGTGCAAAACTGTATTACACACTTTTTAAAAACCTATTCTAAAGAATTATAGTATTTAATTGATTTCAATAGATACTTTTAGAATCTCAACAATAAGATTATGAAGAATTTGAGATGTACAAGAGAAACTGCAATCTGTCAATCAATTGATATGAAAAAGAAACTGTTCTTCTTATAAATCTGTGAGATTTTTACAGTGAGTAGAGCTTGTTTTCTTTCTTGATGTTTGAACATCTCTATAATGCTGTGATAATGTATATCAACTGATTCTATATTTTTTAGCAGTCTCAGTGTAATTAGGGATCAATGGCATGTTCAAATCATCAATTGCTGCTTGTATAACTGCTTCATGGTGAGATGGATGAAAAAATGAAGATTGGGCGGGCGTTGGGTGGTTGATTACGTTAAGTCAACATTGAGTGCTCCCATAGTCAGTCGCCGCGAGAATTCTTCAAGGTTAAAATCAATTAATAGGACGTATTCCGACTCATTCTCACAAGGGAGGCAACCAAAATGAAAAATACTCACGGAAATCGCAGTCAACAAATGGCACCAAGCAGGTGATTGCTACTATCCAGACACATAAAGTAAATGAAAAAGAAAGTGAGAAGAATGGATAAGTTCCTGTCTCGGAAACGCCCACGAGACTCCTCCCCGCCGGAATCTCATAAAGAGACAACATTTCTTTCGGCCAATGACGGAGACTGTGAAATAGCTAAAGACGAGGAATCGACAGACGTAAAGCTGGCGATTCTAGCATCTCTCTTTCCGGACTTCCAGCAAGAATTCCTCCTTGACGTGCTGGTTGCTAGTGAAGGGTCCCTCACAGCCGCGTGCTCAACTCTGCCATCCCAGACACCTCCGAGCGGTAATAAGAAGCGCAACATTTCAAGTGGCCTGGGCATACAAAGCTCGCTCTCATCATTCGGTGTAACAGCGACGAACCTATCAACCTCAAAAGCAGGGCCGAAAGCCCTCACAAAGAGAGGGCGGACATTGCACCTCTTCTCCCCAGAGGACATATCCAAGTACACCCCTTGCACCATAATTCATAACTTCCTTGCCGCAGAGGAAGCCAACGATCTCCTCCGCGAACTGCTCGAAGAAGCCAAAACCTTCCACAGACAAACCTTCCAGCTTTTCGAAAGCACCGTCCAAAGTCCCCACTCCGCAGGCTTCTACGTCTCCAGTACCGAAGAGCTGCATAAGCATAAACACGAATACTCCTACAATGGCACCTATCGAACAGACGTCCGACAGTTAACCCCGGAACTCCGTCGTGTTTCTACAAAAGTTCAAAAAGCCGTGAACGATGAGATCCATAAGCGCATCACATCACACTACCCGGGCGGGAAGAAGCTAAAATACCAATCGTCGCGTACATGGGTACCCAACGCAGCCTTCGTGAATTGTTATGATGGCCCCTCTGAAAGCGTAGGCTACCACTCGGATGAACTGACATATCTAGGACCCCGACCCGTCATTGGTAGTTTAAGCCTAGGCGTCACGAGGGAGTTTCGAGTGCGCCGAATTGTGCCGCCCGATGATCCTGAGGGTCCCAATGCCAACGGCAACGATAGTAATGCTAATGCTAACGAGGAAACAATAGCTACACAAACATCTACATCTACATCTATATCTACAACAACAACAGCAGCAGCAGCAACCAGGGCAGACATCCAAGGCCAAATCTCCATCCACCTCCCCCACAACTCTCTCCTAGTAATGCACGCCGAAACCCAGGAAGAATACAAACACAGCATTAGCCCCGCACAGACAATATCGCCACATCCCATTGCAGGCAACAAGCGAATAAACATCACATACCGCTGGTACCGCGAGTCTCTACACCCGCGCCACACGCCCAAGTGTCGTTGCGGAATGCCGTGTGTGTTGCGATGCGTGCAGAGGAAACGGGACACGCGGGGGAGATACATGTGGATGTGCTATGCTGGGTATGCGGTTGGGAAAACGTCGTGCTCTTTCTTTCAATGGGCGGAGTTTGATGATGAAGGGGAACCCATTTGGAGGAATGGGGTGGGAAAAGAGCGTGGAAAGTGAGAGGACGTGGAAAATTGTAGGGTGTAACGGTAAATACAGTTAGGAAATGATGGATGGCGTATTTTTGACATGGTTTATGAACTGAATGAGTGGCATCGAGTTTAGCTTCTGGTTCCTACGTTCAATGGGGTTGCTCCTCGTTCGTAAATTCAGATGGCATCTAGTATCTGTTCCTTTCACGGCCGCCGTTTCCCAAAAGCACAAAGCCGCAATATCAATAGAGAGATAATAATTACGTTGTATTTTAATTACGTTGTTTTATGGCCGTTTAGGCCACATTGTGCGAGAAATTATATATAATCAACGAGACCCGCTGAGGCCCCGCAGTGAAAATCGTGAACAAGCAGAACACAGCAAAAGAAAATCCCCACCACCAATATAGCCAATCCCAACCCTAATCTCCTATATTATATCTAGCTAGAGGGAAAGCTGCCATTAGCACCTACGAAATCGGCGAAACGAAGGCCTGATCTCGAGCAACCTTCTCATCTGAACATATATTGTGAAAACAGTTACCGTCGCAACCTTCGACCAAATTGCGGAATGGGTTCATACTGCCCAACTCTACCTGTGGACTATTATAAACCTCCAGATGCTGTGACAAGTGTGATGGCGAAGAAGTGAAAGACCGCTCTCTACTATTTTTTCCCTGTTCCGATGTCCTATGATTGTCGCCGCCGTCAAGATGACGACTCAGATGCATTGAATTAATTCGTTTGACTCTCCCTTGCAAGGCGTTCCCCTCGCCATATAACTCGCGGACATCTTTGTGAAGGGCCTGTCTGACTTTTTTCCGGGGAAAGCGGGTAATTTCACACTTGTTCTCCAATTTGATAACCGCAGGGCCAGATAATGCTGAATGACTGTGCTCTAGGTTTACAGTGAAAATGTTCTCAGAGATCGCCCGGTCAGATGCTCTAAGGAGCCCATGGAGTTGATCAATCATTTGGTCGACATCGTTATCGACTGGATTTTGGGTGCGGTCCCCATGGACAGAAAGCTCTTCCATTACCTCAGACACAGCTTTGATCTTAACAAGGATAGTCCACTTCTCGCCTGGCCGCAAAGCTTTACATTTCGTCTCACCAAGAATAGCTTCGATATCACAACCATGTTGTCCGTCGAGCCTTATCGACAAGTTCGACAGAACACCAGGATCAAGTCCAAAGCGAAGATGGCGCATAACTTGCTTTAAATTATGTTTTAGCGCATGCGCGCCATCGTTGTCTTCCTCGTCAAAACTAGCAGACAGATGCCAGCCATCCACTGGCTCGGAAGCCCATACTACGAGCACCGGCTCTGGAGATATGGTGTGAAATCGCACTCGACTCCTTATGTTGCTGGTTATTCCCAACAGAGAAATGCCTAAATTTGCAGTGATCACAAAAACATGACGTAGTGCTCCCCTACTCGAATATCTCAGAAGCAAGTTCGACGCCTCATGGAGAGCTTTTGATGTACGAGTCAGATTCGGCTCGTCGCACGGGAACTGGAAGATTTGTACAGATCGAAGTAATCCTCGAATAACATCGAGATTACAAGTAGATAGCGGCAGAAGAAGCTGTAGATTTTGCTCAGGATCAGCAGATATACAGCCGATTGCCATTCGGTCAACGAGCATATCCATTGACGAAGCCAAATGGAGTACAGTATTGCACGCCCCTTTTAATAGAGCGGGCGGCATGCTTGCTCTAGCCGCCTAGTCAGTTATGACTTCCCTAGAATTGAGTAAGGGGAACCCACGAATTATCTAGGAGAACCATAATGTCCAGAGGAACGTCGCACCCAATCTGGGTTTCAAGCTCGCCTTCCAAATTAACGTTTGCAGATATTTCCACCGCAGCCCAAGTGAAAAGGTCCTCGCGAGCAGAAATCTTCATAGCATCCATCGTTATATGTATGTTGGCTCTCGTAATTGGGAGAGGGCAAGAGAAGCGAGTATGGACGTTGTTGCGGTGTTTTGGGACAAAAAGGTTCTTTCTAGTAAAAGGGGGCGTTCTTTGTCCAAACCTCTCAGGGGCAGCTGTTAGCTGTGTCGAGATAGGCTCGCGAATTTTATGATTTGGCGGATAACGATGCGTATTTGGTGAATTTGGCTCTGTATAAACGCGTTTTGGCGGATCTAATCTCGAGTAACCACCGGATGCCGGTCCCAGGCTCGAGTGACGTGATTTACTGAAATCCATTACCTTCGCAACCCGAGCGAAAATCCCCCCTTTAGACGGAATCCTTCGCACCACATTATCTACCCCCGAACGCGATCTCTCATTTAATTCCTTAACACTGGGTATTAGGCTTTTTTGCTTCTTTGATAAACTTCATGGGCGTGACGAAAACACATACCTCGTCCATACTAGCCCTGTTGTTACTAAATGTCCGTAACGATAGAAGACGCGAATTAAAGAGGGAATGTCGTTCAATATTGTGAGATTTAGATGAACGCGGGCTATCCTGCTTTACTGGTAGTGTTGAGTACTGGGGCTCCCTTGAGAGCCGGAGCGGTCGACGAATGGCATAAGACGAGTGCCGTCGGGGAATCGCGTAGGGGGGAGCAGAGCTTTTAACAAAGCTAGTGGAAGAAGCCTCTGGAACAGTTGGTAAACGTCGTTTGAAGATGCGCAAAGGCAGTGTCGTGGGGATGGTTGTGCTATCTTGCTCGGGACATGGCTGGATGTCCCCGTTTGACCTGGGCATGACGTCTGGTGAGATTATATAACCAAATGCCTATTAGACGTGTTCCCTCAACAGCGCCGGCTTCATGTACATAACTGCGTCGCCGTCGCTGGACTCGGATCTCTCTGTCGACGCGTTCGACGACTCAGATGATGACGATACCCAATGCGCGTTTGAATGAGCCCTCCTTGAGTGGGGGATATTTCCAGCACGAAGACGCCGTCGCTCCCGATACAAACTCCAGTACTCTGAGCACGCCAGAGCTGTTGCAAGAATAGTGAACAGGACAACGATGGGCACAAGAACCAATGCAATTAAGATTAGATTCCTATTTGCTTCGCTCCGTGTTATCCTGTACATATCGAAACTTGCCCTTGGTATATATCTATCTCGCCCCGATTTTGAGCAGATATCTTGAATGACTTTATGTATAGAATTTGAGCGTATCCGCCAAATACTAGAAGTATAGAAGCATAGAATATGAGAATACACGCGAGATAGATGTTGATGCAATCTAGTTTAAAAAGAGAAGGGAAAGCTGTGTTGACAGAAAAGAATAATAAAAGAATAAAACACAGCAAAAGAGGTAACCGCGTCATGCAGAAGGCACGATGCAGGTTCATATATAAGTCACCAAATTCAGCGGAATAAAAGTAGATTTTGGGATATCAAAACAACACTTCGTATACTTAAAAAAGGGCCCGCTAGAGTTCAGTCGTCAAGGCGCGAAAGCCCAAAAAAGCAGAAAGAAATCATCCACGATTGCAGCTCCCCTACCGCGAACTTTGCTCATTAGGGCTAGAGACGAGCACCGAATCATGCTGTGTCTATCTCGCCACCTTCTTGGGTAGAGATACCCTGGGTAGAGATAATCTCTTCCTTCGTTTTGGCAAGCGTATCGCTATCAAGTTTGATGAATCGAATCTAGAAAAATGCAATTACGAATTAGCTTCTCTCGGAAATTCAACATGTGTATATGAAAGCACACTATCGATCCGGCACCTGCACTCACCAGATCATCACTCGCACCACTACGCGTACTATTTCCGAAAAGGACCGATTCCAAAAAACTAGTCTCAATTCCAGCCTGAACCCTCGTCTCCCAGACACCCTCCCAGTTCCATTCCCCAGGACGCCGTGCTTGAAGGCTACCCCTTTTCACGGACCCATCTACACCATCTTCTCCTTCCCTATATCCTAGGCCCCGATGAGATCGCCACGCATGCCAGGCTCCCGGGTTTCCAGCCGCCTCCAGCGGTATAGAGTCCAATACTTCTTCGTCATCAAATGTCGACCGAATATAGTTGAGCACCTTCAATACTGGGACATTCACTTGAAGGCTGGAAGTATACGGCGAGCCGACTGGCAATGGAGATACATGTCCATGGGAATCATGTGACGAACCTCGCCCAGAGGATGAGGCATCTAGTCCTCCTGTAGACGACGTCCCAGGATTGGTAGGGGTTTTGTCTGGAGTTGATTCGCTTGTCCCCTGACTGGACTGTTGCTGTTCCAAGGCTGTTGGTTTCGTGTCATTCTGGTCGCTTCCACTCACGTTCCTCGATTGTGTCGCTGAATTAGATGCACTCCTGCGTGCCCTTCCGAACCAATGTGGAAACCCATGCCTCAGACTAAAGCCACCAGGTGGCAGGCGTTCCTCGTCCGTTGCGCTTACGGTGTCCGTATCAGGAGAGTTCGTACTAAATGTGTACGTTGTGAGGGGCACGATGAGAGGGTGGAATATGTCTGTTGTGAAGGTCACCAATGGCGGTAGATCTGGATATGTCGATGGAAAGCGGAGCTGGAATCGTAAAATAGCAGATGCGTAGGGGCCTGATTACAGAGCAAGTTCGTCCATTAGCTTATTACTCATCGCAGTTAACAACTTCACCTCAAAGAATATTTGGGAAAAGATCACATGCGACGGGCAGAATATTATTTTATTACCTTTCTGGACAAAAATAACTCCGGACCAGAAGGTCGGATCTGTCGCTGAGATATTCACATAGACACCAGGGAGAGGGGCGGTTTTCAAGCTGGCGCTGTTTCGGGAGGAGACCCGTCAGCCCTCAATGCAAACAACAGCTTACAAGAAGGTATCTTTTGGAAAAGGGGAAGCGAGCAACGTCGTAAAGAAACTTATGCTCGACTTACAATTCAAGCCGAAGCTGTTGTTTGCGCAGAGACGGGATGTTGGGAAGCTTGTAGGACGACATTCTGGTATTCGGTTCGATATGTTCCTTGAGGAAACGGCTCTGGTTTCCGCCAACGATGAAAGCTTCGATGGGGTGGAACCGGTCTTGGCGTTCAGGGTAATCGCCGAGGTCCAATTGTAGTCAGAACAAACGCGAATATCACTCCAGGGTTGAACAAAAAATCCCATCCACTCAGGTCCATTCTATTTCTAATCAATTGTCTGGGCAAGAATCTATTTCTATATAATCCTACTTACATATAGACCTTCAAATCCATATTAGTGGTAGTTCCGAAGGCCTTATCCATACGAGCCTGAGAGTGAAATGGACGCAGCCGGACCAACAAACAATCACTTAGATGACAGAGTCAATGTGAACAGACGAAGCATGTCATGTTGTCAAGAAACCACTCGCACTCACGCTTGGAGATGGAGGGTCTCAATGCCCATCTCCCCAATCAATGACAACCTTCCAGGCAACTAAACTCCCGTTCTAGTGTGGACGGAGATATATCGGAGGAGAAAGATACCACAACGAGCACCTTTCCCTAGTCCAATCGCTACCGCCGGACGGTTAAAAGCGGAAGCGCTCAGGTCATCTGAGTCGTTGTCACTCCCCAATACCAAACGGAATGAATGGGGCTTAATTGGCATGCGAGAGATAGAGAACGACAGAGAAACAAGGACACGCGCTGGCAGCCTGGCACGACTCAGAACAGAATTTTCAACCAAGAGGTCTTTCAAAATCAATTGATAATGACGCATTTCTCATGACCTCATTGTTATCGCAGCCAGCCCTATATGGAGGGGTGGAGGCTTGCTAGTACGAGCCTAGCCTAACTGGCAATTTCGCGCCCCGGACGGTCAATCCTTCGATAGCTTGAAGATTCATTGTTGCGGCAGTAGCAGCCGGCATTAGGACCTCGCCCGGACGGCCCGGCGAAATGGTGACTTCACGGGACTAATTATACTCTGAAGACCAATGCCCTGTTGAACATAGATGCATAGTGAGAAGAAAAACGAAAAACGCAAAATTTCTGTAATTGGTCAAAATTAGCAGCTCAACAGCCAATTAAAATGTAGCACAGCAAACACATTTCCACGTACTTTATATTCATATTCAAAAGAGTAGTATAACTCCGGATCTGCTAGATCTGTCAATGAACACGTAGTTCAAGCATTTTCCATTTTGGATGCAGTTATGCACACAGTTGGTTGGACCTTCAGGAATGGTGAAGGTATCAGACTGACAACACACAGACGCTAAACAATAATAATGAGCTGATTGATAAGCACGGCGGTGCAATCATTGCTCGTTTTCCGTTGCCGATTGGAAACCTGAGCTGCCAAAATAGCGCAGACCCTAGCAATAAAATAGATTCACCGATAGATGAAAAAGGGAAGACCCGTAGCGACACGAGTCCAATTCAAGACTGATGCCTAGGTATTCCGACTCGACTCGGGAGTCGCGCGTAAGCACACAATTCAAAACATGCAGGAAAAGTGAACGAGCGTGCATTTCCTAGCAAGCTGCCAACGCGACTCCGAGACCGGCGCGGTTGAATAGGGTTTAACATTTCGGAAGTTGGAGTTAGTAGAAGCAATCTGCCGTCATTTGTCCCGGGACGGCTAATGCATCGATAGCGTATTCGTATGATTCTAATTCCCATTCGACCACTCGTGTTCTGTCTGATGATTATATGGGGACGTGCCTGCTATCGTTGGTCCAAGCCCGATATTGAGAATGAAAGTGTTAGCAAACCAATTGACGTTTAAAAACTGAACCATAGCTTCTGGAAAGGAGGCTTGGATCCCGTAGTGCGCGGCTAATCTATATAGGCTTAGCGCTGGGGTTAGATGTCAAACGAAGGGCGTAAGGGACAGGGATCAGACTCCCGCTGATGTAATCCATCGTCAGGAGGCTGACTTTAGCTCCATTTCCGCCGCATATTGCTCTCAAGCCTCAACCTCAGGACAACTTGATCTGAGGGACTGTGGAGCGTTTATTCCTTGTCTTTTCTTGCCTCATGAGCCCTTTAACCCCCCGTCAAATTGTTCCCCTCTAATCACGCGGCTGTAGACCTGAAGAGCCCGACAAGGTTTATGAAGAAAGCTCAGGAGCAGCATTGTCGGTCGAGAGAGATGAAGAGGATCGACAGGTAACTAACTATCAGTGGCAGTGGAGCAATTCATCTTATCCAAGAACCAAGATCCTTGACCCCAGCTTAATCTTGAACTAAGCTACTTAATAATGGGGCTAACAAGGTTGTTGCATGAAACCATCGCTGTGCTCTACCCCGCTGCCAACACTACTCCAAGATCAGATATCCCATGTAGACCCAGACTCGCTCGAAGTCAATGCCACAGCCGAGTCCGGAACCTCTCCACCGATGCAAGGCGAGCCCAACCAGAGCTTAACAAACACGAAGTTCCCTGAATCGGTGACTCAATCTAGTCTTCTCTTCTGGAACATTTCTTCTCTTTGACATTCTTCCGCCCAACTTCTCCATCTCCTGTTGTTTTCATCTGCCCTCTTTCTTTCCATATACAGTCGAAGCTCCCACGGAGTTTCACCCCCTTCTCAGCCTCCGTCATCTTGTTGCCTGGGCTTCAACCCAAATTGCCGCCAGGGGGCAATCTGGCTCGGTTTGTGTTGAAACGGTCACATATATCATGGAATATTTCGACTTCGAACAAGCAGCCCTGGATGACGATGTTGACTCTAATTGCCAAGTGATCGATGAATCTGACTTTATTGAGAAGTATGATACTTTAATTGTTGAAGACGCACCTGTGCTCCCCTCTCCCGTGCCGCCCACCACCGCACAGCCTGATAACTCTCAAGAACAAGAAGCGCTCCCAAGCATACTTGATAGGGGTGTCTTTCCTGTCACCCGGGCTGAGGAGCCCTGCGATCTGTGTCGTTCCCGAGGCCTTGACTGTTTCATGGCACAACGGGGTGTGATGCAGAACAACGGTTGTACATGCTGTATCTCTCTCTACCGTGAATGCAGTTTCACACGGACTAAGCCTCATGAAAACGGATTGGATACGTTACATGTTGTCTCCGAAGACAGCTACGTGCCAATCGGCAGCTTCACAGGCAAGAAACTTTTAAGGTCATTTCATGGTGGCACCTGCAGTACCACTTTTGAGGAAACGGAACCGAGCGGACGAAAGAGTGGCTCCAGATTCCCAAGAGAAGCTATTCGGGTCTTAAAGGCGTGGCTCACGGAGCACGCCAGCCATCCCTATCCCTCAGACAAGGAAAAAGACGAATTGAAGTTGAAGACAGGCCTAAAGCGTAGCCAGATCTGCAATTGGCTTGCAAATGCCCGTCGTCGAGGCAAAGTCCGACCATCGCTACGCGATCGCTCTCCTCCACCCACGGGGGCTCTGGATATTCCACGAAAACAGCTAGCTCCAGGAGTCGATATTTCCGAATTGACTCCCCTTGAACGTTGGAAGCATTCGCCCCCTGAACACGAACCTGCGTCAGCCACAGATATTATCCGAGCCATGGCAAATGCACCGTTCGCTCCGGAGCGGAATCCGTCCAGTGGCGGGGAGAAAAATCCCTCCAGTGCTGGCCGTTTCCGCGCGCATTCTCGACAAACGGGTTCGAGCACTGACGGTTCAGGTCTTTCCAATGTACTTCCCGCCCGGTCGGTGAGTAGCTACAGTTTGGACACGACACAATCCAGTATTTCCGATATGTCTTTCGCATCCGCCTTCTCTCATCGCTCGTCCCGCGCCTCGTTCAACTCTTTTGACGGAAAAGACCGCCGTAGACGTCGCCATAAATCTGCAGTTGGGCAAAATGCGTTTCAAAATGCCCGGGCTGCTCGAATTTTCCAATGCACTTTCTGCACTGATTCATTTAGTACCAAATATGATTGGCGACGGCACGAGAAGTCATTGCATCTTGCGTTGGAGAAATGGACATGTACGCTGCAGGGAGGGGTTGTCACAATAAATGGCGCAGTCGTCTGTGCTTTTTGCAAAAGCCCCAACCCAGATGACGACCACCTTGAGTCACATAATTTCAAAGCTTGCCAGGAGAAGTCCCTTCAGGAACGGACCTTCTATCGAAAGGACCACCTCAGTCAACATCTCCGTCTGATGCATCGTGTAAAGTTCGGCTCTTGGATGGAAAGCTGGAGAAGTGCGACTACGGAGATCCGGTCCCGCTGTGGGTTTTGCTCCGCCATATTTAATACCTGGAAAGATCGTGTCGATCATCTCTCAATTCATTTCAAAGCTGGTAATGATATGTCGCAGTGGAAAGGTGACTGGGGTTTCGAACCTAGCGTTCAGCGGCTTGTCGAAAATGGCATGCCTCCATATCTAATTGGAGAAGAACGAAAGACACCAGATCCGTGGGTCGCTAGACCTCCGGCGAAGAAATCCAGTTATGATGCACTAAGGAGAGGTTCAAATCCCGGCTCCAGCGCTGAGTCAGGTGACATCCCTGTCCCGGGAGACGCAAATTGTTTCCGCCGCCTAGGGATTGAACTCTCCGCGTATATCAGCCGCCAGGTTGCCAGTGGCATCATTCCGACAGATTCGGACATCTTGAGCGAAGCCCGACAAATCGTATATGGATCTGACGACCCGTGGAACCAAACTTGTGCCGACAATCCGATATGGCTATCTATTCTCAAGCGAGACAACGGCCTGTGTGAACCCCCAGGAGTCGAAAATATCCAGCTAGATGACTTGGGCATGCAGCCGCCCTTCGCTGCCCCTGGACTCTCCCAACCCCCTATGCATAAATTTCTGACCATCCCGCCTAACCTCACCAATGCTGGTGTCAACAGTTCCGGGTTCCAAAGCCCAGCATTCTACAGCACCAGTTTCAATTCTGGAGCTCCGAGCATCCACGGCAGTTTCATGGACAGCGCCACGGGAAGCGTGGGTGTAAGTTCAGCTGGATTCCCCAGTGGCGGCTGGCCAGGCTTGACAACATCCAACGCACTATCTTCTTCTGCTCCGGTAAGCGCTGGCTTCGATCTGGGAATCCAGAATACGCACCACTATCTCCAACAACCTCCGGGCAGTGTTCAAGGGGATCTAGGTGCACACTTCAGTGATATGCATATCGATAGGTTCGAACCTGGAGGCCACTACCGGATGGGCAACAATGAGGGTAAATTTGGTGCTATTGACCGGCACAGTCTGTCCGAGGCCCCTTCCTATTTCGAAGTGCCATCTACTATGCCAATAGACATCCCCTCATCGGTTGCTCCTGTGTCTGGGACCCATATCGCGTCCGGTTCGTTTGAGCCTTGTTTCCGGAACATATTTGATGATCACTTTGATATGAACTAGTGTCTGCTCCTTTTGCATTGTTCTTTCGTGCGATTCAGGACAATATTTGGGGGCAATGGTTGGTCTGCGCAGGCCATTCTCAGTTGCTACGAAATCGATTTATCCACGTCAGGCTGTTAATTATATGATAGAGAAGGAGAAGGTGGGGGGGAGGGAATAAAGGAAAAGAAAGGCAAGATACCTCAGCGCTACAAAACGCCATGATGATATGTTTGCTTTTATAGTTTGGGACGACAGTTGGGTACAAAAGTTTGATTACATTATCGAAGAATAGAAAGGATCAGAATGAATATGAAGGGAAGTGGATGATTTTTCAACAGCTTATCATCATCTGCCTTGGCCTAATTTGCGTCATTTTTAATACATTTTGTGATGTTTTTCTTTTCTTTTCTTTTTTTTCCCATTCACTTTGAACATTAATTAATTGTTTTTTTTGCCCCCTTTTTCATACATCTCAGTCGCTTGCTTTTGATCAATAGGCGTTTCTTGCCTTGAATTGGATTTTGCTATTGGTCTTTTCCCCGCGCGTGAGACCTTTTTTGAGCCGGGGAGCTCAGGAAGACAAGGCACGTTAGACGGATTAGATTAAAGTCTTGGAGATACAACATGTAGACACAGTTACATCTACCAACTCCACTCCATAGCAATTGGATTTCAGCTTGCCTCTGGTTCACGCGGAATGTGCAAAAAGGTTCCTTGGATTTTTATCATCAAGAGTCCCAGCTCGGTGTTACAGGTTTAATAGAGCATCCGAAGACAACTCACTATCTTGGATATACATGCGAATCGATGCCAGAAAATGCCTTTAGATTAGAGAGGTAGGTAGTAGATCCATATACTGAGACCCACATTCACACAAGGCCCGCTTCCCCATCCTTATTAAATTTATCACCTCTCTCGTCTTCCCAATGATCTCTACACAGCCAGGAGAGTCGGAATGACAACAGATGGAAACCGGATAATTTCCAACAGGCATCGCGACCCCCGTACCATCCACCGCAGTCACCGACTGCGTCCGAATCAGCTGAGTGACATGTTTCTCCACATCCACCAAATCCCACGGTTTCTTCTTGCGATCAATCACCAACGACGACCCATCCGTCCGGTACTTGACATCGCCATACAACTCTGCCCAGAACGGGATGCCAAGATCCTTCGCTGCCTTTTGGTGCCTGCGAGGCCAAAGACCGGTATTCCCTTGGGGATACCCAACATCACGGCTTTGGCTACTTCGTAGTCGCGGCACATTATGCCATAGAGGATGCCGTGGGGTTTAACGCGATGGAGGGGGATGCCTTCTCGGTCCAGAAGCCCTTGAGGGCGCCGACTTGGTAGACTGTTAGGGTGGTTAGTTCTTCCGGAGGGAGTTTCATTTCTCGTCGACCGAAGCCCTGGAGGTCAGGGAGGCCTGGGTGGGCGCCGATTTTGACGTTGTGGGCCTTGAGGTTTCGGACGGTTTCCATCGTAATGAGGGGGTCGCTTTAATATAATTTAATGGAGGAGTTGGGAGGTGAGTTAGCTGTGATATTCCGCATCTTTGAGTTGGTTTTGGATTGTTCATGTGCTTCATGCCGGCCATATGGCTTCCACGCTTTCCTTTCTTCTCTTTTTCTTCTACCTTCCCCCTCGATTTCAATTTCATATATATCCTAGGGAATAAGGAGGACATGAAATTCCTCATGAACCAAATTCGCTACAAAATTATGGGAGCAGGGCTTACCCAGCATGAAATCCACAGGCAATATTTGCGATATCAACCAGGGGGAGAAGCTCGAGGTCCGGGCCGCATGCCCAATTCCCGTAATAGATATGGAAACCCATCAGTTAACCCTTCAGAAAGTTGATGGACGCCCTAGTAGCTGCACTCGACTTCTTCGGTGTGAATAACAAAGGGATTGAGTGGGTTGGTGGGGGAGCTATATGGACAGCTTCTCCCATGTCACAATTTATCAGGGCTTTGTGTTTTATCGGCGCCATTGTGTCTGGATACCCAAGTAGGAGGAGATCTGTCGTAATAAGTTATCAATAGATTGTAGTTTGGATGAAGCAGCTGGTATGGTTGTTGTCGCGGTGCAGTACGTGCCTGTTGGTTTGGCCAGGAGATTATAAATTTTAATGTCAAGGGCTGGCAAGGAGCAAGGAGAATGTGGTCAAAGATGGCGGGCATTAGGGCGAGCCCCAGAATGCCGGGCTGACTTTTAGTTCCCCCAGCTACCATTGCTAGCTACCATCTCTCGAGCGCCCGGACACATGGATGGCATCTCCCATACGAGATTTCGGGCTCGGGTATCGAATCAGATACAGCAGCATCGCCGAGTTACCAGGCAGCTATTCGCGCAGAATTCGTGCTAACTTTTTAAATAGAAGCACTAGATGGCTGCGCAAGTCCGTTGTATTCACTTGACCACCTCGAAATTAGCTTACACCCTTCTCACATGTAGATAGATAGATGATGCTCTCGTTCTTTCTCTCTTATTCCCCACCCAGCCCCCACGAAACAGACAGACAGACAGATTTTTGGCTACGATGGATAATAGAAACTCGCATGCAATGTACATGTACAACAGACAAGAAACAGGCGCCCACATAATAATTTACGCAAATTCACTCCTATCTTCCACCTAATATTCTCAATTTCCAGTTATCCTAGCCCAATCTTCCATGGCTTGTGCATATCCTGGAAGATCCTCACCGCGGATAACACAACGGGCCCGCCTCTGAGGTATAATCCGTTCATACCTGTCGCGATAAATGTTCATGTCCATGGCATAGTTTTCATCGACACAACGTGCATATTCTTCCGCCTTGAACCGAATGCCGCCTGGAGGCTGCTGCCCGCCCTGCAGGAATCTGATGTAGGCGTGCACCTGAGCTTCTGAGAGTTGGAAGATCATGTACCCGCCCACTGGGTGGATAAATATATCCTTGCACTAAGATTGGCAAAAGATCAAAAGTAAGTGAATATTAATTCGGTTGAGAAGCAAAAGGAGTCTGTATGGGAAGTATAGAACTCTTACTTCGTGCCCTATCTCCCCACGATCAAACAAAACAACCCCCCCGAACAGACGATATTCTGCCCAGTAACCGACAATATCGGCAATTCCGTTAGGATATTGCTGCCAGAAATCATAAGAATGATGGAAAAGCTCCGCTGGCAGAGCTTTGAGGGGTGGTGTGGGTGGCATGTTGGGCCAAAGCAGTTCATCGGGCCATACTATGGGGTCGGGAGGCTCTGGTTTATGAAAGCCTCCATCGTAAGCCTGATACAAGTGAACAGCGATGCCGTGACAGAGGACAGCAGGGATCTCAATAAGACGTAAGTGGAATTCTCTTGAGCCAGGGGTAGAGTTTTGGAATGCTTGCGCTATCTGCTGACTTTTTAGCATTCATTCTCCAAAATAGAAATGTCAGGAAAAAGAGGTTATACACTACTGAACGCCACCAACATCGTATTACTGAACGCCACCAACATCGTATTACTACAATATTTCTCATCATCATCAGCTTACTACAACACTCGTCTAATACTCGCTTATGCTAGCTCTCTTGGCTCGCACATATATTTTACTATAAATAGCTCCATCTTTTGTATGAAATAGATATATTAGATAGTGTACGGATAATATAACAAGCAGATCTTGATACAGATAAGATTCATATGTCTTCAACATATTCATCTGTGACACCCAATCCGACAGTTATGAGCCCGGTAAGCAGCATCTGAAGAGAAGTGTGATACACCGATCTCAATCCTCATTTGAACTGATAACTATCATTTGAACTGAGACAATTGATCCTCATTTGTATACAGTCTGATCTACTCAATCATCATACTCAATTCCCAGTAAGCAGCATCTGAAGAGAAGTGTGATACACTGATCTCAATCCTCATTTGAACTGATAACTATCATTCAAACTGAGATGATAGATTCTCACTCATATACATTTCAAAATACTCAATCAATATACACTCTGAATTCTGATCATATCTATCCTCAAATACTTGAACTGATTTCTCAATCCATTCAATATAATCAATATGACAGACAAGACAATGTCTAGTGTGACAGTACACCTTAGTGTTTCTGAAGATTGAAAACTTTGATACAAGCATATGCTAGAATATGCAAAGAACAAGAAGATATCAGACTTCATCAATCTTGATAAACCTGATATCTTCTCTGAACTAGAAGAATCTCTGAAACCCGAGAGTTCAGAAGAAGCCACTGCAGAGATTAAGATAGTATATAATATCAAGATCACTGCATGGAAAATCAAATATATGAAATATGAAAAAATAAATGAAGGTATGACAAAGATACAAGATGTCATATGAAGAACAGTGAATGTCACAGAGCTACAACATATACACAGTGAGAATGATGATATGAAGAAGATTATTCATTCATTAAAAGATTATCTCTCACTCACAATCACAGACTATCAAGATAATGTGAGAACCTAATATCATGATCTCTGCAAAGCACTGAAAAACAGAGATATAGAGAAGTGATTAAATGACTGATCACTCATTAAAGATGATATCAAAGAGACAGATATAGCTGAACAGTTCAACTTGAAGAAAGATTTCTTAAATGTGAATCTAGCTATTGATGCAGATTATGCACAAGCATGAGCTAAGAATGTTTAACATGATAAAGATGTTATATCTTTGATAGAGTTAGTTAAGAACTTCAAGAAATGATATAGAGAAATGAGTATTCTCAAAGAAGATAAACCTATGAACTTTGCTACTCTTAATGAAAGATCTCAGCAATTATTATCAGTGACATTTGAAAACTGCATCTGCAGAGCCTGTCACTAATACACTCAGTGCTACTATCTCAATTCATCAAGAAAGTCATCTGAATGAAAGGAAAATAAAGAGAAGAGAACTCAGATCAATCAAGCTCTTAAAAATCAAGAATTGAAGAGATACATTGATCATGTGATATCTAGAGATTCATTCATGAATACAGATATGATAGATGTCAATGAAGCAGTTATAGAAGAAATGATTCTGAAGCAATCAGTTTCTCAATCTATCAATCATTAATCTATTAATCATCAATCTATTAATCATCAATCTATTGATCATCTATCTATCAATAATCAATCTATCAATCAGCAAATCTGAAAAATATCAATGAACTCTTCACATTCTCACTTCTATCTCTGAAACTCCTGAATCTTTGATACTGGTGTGGAACAGCATATATGTAATAATTAAACACATTTTCTATTCTTTACACCTGCGAACAAGAATGCGGAAGTCTATACAGGCGATTTCAGCACTAAAGTTGAAGGTTATGAAACTGTTAGAACTATCATGATAAATGAAGCAGAAAAGCAGTTCAATGTCAATCTCACCAACTGTAAGAAATCCCGCTCCTCGCGGATCCTTTACCTCTATTCCTATCTCTCGCGTAATCAATAGGGCTAGCGGCCCTTGGCTACACACAACTATATAGACTGGAGTTCATGAATACTATTCACAACTCAGCTTGAATACTAATATACATTTGATCTCTACATTTATCTTTCTACTGTGAACACTTCTAGTAGTTAACAGTACATATCACATCAAGCTGCAAACACCTGAATAATTATCTGTGAGCACTTATTCTTATATTTCAAGCTCAGTCAGTCAGCAACTGCCTGTTATAACTGAAAGAACTAGAAACTTACATGCTTCAATCTCTGCAAACTCTACTGCAGACACTCAGAAGCAGCCATCTGAATCATGAATAATCTTTATAAAAGAAGTCTCAGAGAACTTATTAATCACTTATAAGACATCATTCTCTGCATCTGTGACAGAGAAACCCTCTGAATTTACAAATAAATCAATCTCAGTGAAGAACATTCTTGAGCATCTTCTGTGAAATTAAGCTATTTTTCTACAAGAAATGCTTACTGTCTGCAAACATTCTTGAACTGAGTCTCTAGACATGATCTTCAGAGACATCTGTAAACTGAAAAGAAACTTTCTCAAGCTGTGATCACTTAAGATCATCTATCAAATCACAATCTATAAAAGCTTTTATGAGTTTGTATTTGAAATTGACTTACAAGCCCGGCTGTGTGATATGAAAGATGAAGAAGCTGTCATCTATGTGATGACAGATCTCTATTACACTGAAGTCAAGAACTGGCTGAATTATTTAGAGAATAATCATGAGAGATTCTGATAATCTATTCTCAAGATCTATCTAGAGAACAAGTTAAAAGACTCTGTGAGCTGAACAGAGAACATCTGAACTGCAATCATCAATATTAGAAAAAGAGATGAGAAATCTGATGAAGACTACTTACAGTGCTTCATAGAATTGTGACATAAATTAAGATCTGTGAAAACAGGGCTCTGAAATAAGATCTGAATAATGATATTCATAAAGAGACTGAATAAAGATATACAGAACAAGCTTATTGAGTAAGACTCTAAGTTCTTGACTCTGAAGAAACTGATGACTCTCATTCATTGCTTACAGATCACTGTAAAAGTCACAGATCTGTAAAGAGCAGATCATCAACTAATCTCATAAGAATCAGAACAACAGAGAACAGATTTATCAGAAAAAGATGATAAGATATAGAGAGATTTATATCTGACTACTGAGTAGAGAGAGAGAGCTTCACAAGCTTCTATGAACAGAGTATATAATAAAAAGATTAAGAAAAAGAGACTCTGCTTTATCTATTCTAAATCAGAACATCTCTGTGCAAACTGTTCAGACAAATCAAAATAGAAATTTAAGAAGTTATGAACAGAGTCAGCAACAGCCTTCTTAAGAATCTTGAAGCTGATATCTGAATCTGTTACTTCTTTAATGAAAATGCTTACTTACAGAAAGAGATCACACTGCAGTACTGCTGTCTTACAAGTATGAAAAGTATTAATGAACTCAGAATCTCAGATCACTGTGATGTCTCTAAAGCTCACAGAGTGAATAGGCTGAAAGATGAAGACTGAGAACCTGCTCTTATAATAAGCAGAGTATGAGAACTCAGATCTGAGAACTGAGAAACTCATAAGAGTTATCTTTGAATTACAAGATCTCTCTGAAATCTGGAGAAGATTTGTGAAAACTGTGATTATCACAGACATCACAGATGACATGTATTTAAGACTTGTATGACTTCAAAGACACAATCTGTACATAGTTGTTTATAAGTCAGGTTTATACTTCTGATCAGTGTTGACAGACTCACTTACAGAGATAGAAACAGTTAATGCTGCAGAGTTGATTAGAGAAGACAAGCTTATCTATGTAATGACTTTACAAGTGTCTGAGAATCTTGTGATCATGAAAACTGAGCTTCAGATATCAGAGAAATACTGAGATCTCACAGAGATGTTCAGCTCAGCTAAGACAGCTGAGCTTTCTTCTCATTATAAGAAGAATCTGATAATAGATTTAATAGAAGAGTAGAAACTCTTCTGAGAATCAATCTATAAGCTCTCTCATCATGAAACAGAGGTCTTGCAGATCTATGTAAAGAAGAATCTGAAGAATGACTTTATCTGATCTTCACAGGCCTCTGTAGAAGCCTCTGTGATGTTTGTGAAGAAGAAGAATAAAGATCTCAGATTGTGTGTAGACTACTGTGATCTGAACTTCAAGATAATAAAGAGCTGCTATCTTCTGTCTCTGATTGAGAATGTAATCAATCATCTCATGAGAGCTGTCATATTCACACAACTGAATGTGATTAATATATATACATAGCTGTGAATATAATCTGAAGATGAATGAAAGACTGTCTTTAGAACTGCACTGAGATTATTTGAATATCTAGTAATGTCTTTTGATCTGACTAATACCTCTGCAGCATTTCAGTCTTTTATCAATAAAACACTTCATGTATATCTGAATGTCTTTGTGATAATATATCTGAATGATGTGATAGTGTACTTCATGAAGAAGAAAGAACACACTGAGCATGTGCAAAGCATGTTAAAGGCCTTAGATGAGACAGAACTGTATGTTAAGCTTATAAAGTATAACTTCAGTGCCTGCTGAATTAATTTCCTAGAATATATAATCACTGTGAATGATATTCAGATGAAATCTTTATAAGTTGAGACTATTCTATTATAACTGAAGTTAACTAGTATTCATAAGATTCAGATCTTTCTGAGCTTTGTAAATTTCTATAGACAGTTTATCTTTATATTTATGAGAATCTTCTTAACTCTTACAGACATACTGAAGAGTGAAAATAAGAAGAAGTCATCTCATAAATAAAGAATGAAAAGATTGTTGAGAAGAGAGAACTGTGAGAACTTTCTTATCTCAGAAGCTCACAGAGTCTTTGTAAGATTGAAATAGATATTTACAGATACAGTGATACTGTTTCACTTTGATCTCTTACTCTTAATCAGATTGAAGACAGATGTCTTCTTCTTTATAATTTCAGAAATAGTCTTGTAACTACAGTTAAATAAGAACTGAGTTTCAGTGATCTTTTTCTTACAGAAGATGCAACTCACAGAGATCAATTATGACATTTATAATCAGAAGCTTCTTATAATAGTGAAATTCTTCTGTCACTAATATCACTACTTTGAGAGCCTTATAACAGTGATTACTGTTAGAACTGATCATAACAGCTTATAACAGTTTACTTCAATTAAGAAACTCTTACAGCAGCAGATTCACTGAGCTCAGAGACTGAGTGAGTTCTGATTTAAGATAGAACATATTAAGAGAACTAAGAACTCAGTGAATGAACTCTCTTACAGATCAGACTATGTTAAGAAGACCAGGGTGACAGACATAGAGAGACTAGAGAAGATAGAAAAGCTTCACAGAATGCTCAGACTGAGTGTTGTAAAGAGATTAACTGAAGAGTCTCTTAATTCTCTATGAGAGAAGAAGAAAAAGAGAGAGAAGAAGCCTGTGCAACTACTCTCTATGACACTGAGAGTCAACACTCTGAGAATCTCTGCAAGAATCCTTGAAGAGAGTATCTATAACCTGAAGAATTTATGAGCTTTGAGAAGCACTGCAGAAGACCTGGTGCAAGGGAAAACAGAGTATAAGTCTTTGCAAGATCTTCTATTCAGATTGTCTGAACTGCAACTGAAGAATGAATATACTCAGTATATTTGAAAACTGCTCACAGCAGAGATCAACCCTGCAGAAACAAAGAATTGAAGAGACTTAAATGACCTCTTGCAAAGAGAGGGCTGGATTTATGTGCCTGTGAATGAGTTTCTATACATAGAACTCATCAAAAGGCATCATGACTTCCCTCTAGCAGGTCATTTTGCAGACACTAGAACTCATGAGTTACTCGCAAGGAAATACTTCTGAGAAGACTTACAGCAAAGAGGGGGACTGCGCTGCTTGAAGCCAGAGGCTGGCCTGAGGGAGGGATGAGGTGGGCCGCTGGCCCGAAGATCGGGTGCGGTGGCAGGGCTGGGGAGGGTGGAGATGTGGTCGTGAGCGGCGGCGCCCCTGCTCCACCAGCCAGCAAAAAGCAATCAGAGGAGTCGCGGGGACACTCATGAGAAGCTCAGCAGCAGCCAGACATTGTTTACAAAGATGTTGAAATTGAAAGAATTTTTTATTCTTGAGAAGTTCTTGAATCAACACACAGACATTGTCAGGAACACTCTCTCTCTGTCAT